CTAATCTCCAGAAATCCTAAGGTATAGCCATAATAATAATAGTCCATTTCAGTAACACCATTTCTGTATCTAGGTTAATAAACTAGGGGGAAATATATCAACATTATGTTAATTAAACTCTCAGTTGGCCATACCTTGGGAGATGTTATGAATGGTGCTGAAGAGAAAAAGTCAATATGCAAATAGTTACAATATCAAGATAGAGTCAGGAAATTGTGGCACAGATGAGACAAACTCATACATGCATGAAAGAATATAAATGTAGATAATGTGAATGGCAGTAAATACTAGAAGCAGGCATACTGGAACAATGATAATACTTCTTACCTGTGTGTTTGAAAATTCTGTACACACAGCAAATGGGGTTTTTAATGCAGGAAAATAAAAAAAAAGTACAGAGACTGTCAGAGAAAGTCACTGATCATTGAAGAAAGTCACTGATCATTGAAGCTGGAAAATACAATTCATTGTCAGAAGACTATTTTGAAATACAAAGAACAACTATATACATAGCTTGGTGGAACAAATGTGGGATAAATTTAAGAGCTGAAAGCAGTGTATCTACAATGCCAGATATTATATAACAGAAGCATAGAATATTCTTTTGCCCCAATCTTGAATTAACGCTATCTATGAACAAAAGCTTGCTTTCATGAACTTCACCTCAAACAAAGACATAGTTTCACATCTATTCATAATTATTTGTCTTCAAGACAACATACATTTACTGAATCAGAGCCTCAGATAAGAAATCGTAGTTTTTTGGATTCATCTCCTTTCTCTATCCTCTCCCATGGGCCTCATATCTATCCCAAGTTGGGACAGATATATGTAAAATATGGTAAAATCTTAGTTCAGATGGGTAGAAATGTGAGTTAGTCTTATCTATTTGAGGATGCAGAGTCCATTTAACACATCATCAGATGAAAAATTTTAAGAGCAGCCACTGAATAAATATTTGTAGTTCATTACCTCAAATACCTGGAGTTTAAAAACTTGCAGTTTAGAATAGTAGGATAAAATATTCAATAATTAATTGTCCTCTCAACTCTTTTGTTATGGAATAGACATAATCCGTGTTTATCTTTCAGACTACATTTTCAATGCAAATACAAATTGTATTTTAATGATGTTATGTCTTAGCTCATCTTTCTCTGCTCCCACTTGTGAGCACGAAAAGTAGTGAACCGTCCACAATGTGGAATGCCAGAAGGGAGGGCTCAGTAATAGTAGCAGTAGCAGGCACAGCAATGGCTGTGCTTAGTCTAGCTTCTTCCATTCACAGATTGATTTTCAGCTATGTGTAATATTATTGTGTTATGAGTGCCTAGTTCCAAAGAGAGCATGTAGCATAATGCTTGCTGCATATTAAGCACCCCATTGCTATTTGCTTAATTAATCAATTATAATATTCATCTTCTTGAGCCACTAACAGACTAATTTGGACAGGAAACACATACACACACACAAGCAATTATGGATAGCAGAGTTTTATCATTTCACCAAATCCCTTTCGTATTGAAGCAGCCCTATATTATGAGCTACTCAAGAGTGTCTCCTACTTTCTCTGACGAGGCTATCTTTTCTTTTCTTTTTTTAATATATATATTTTTTAATTTATTTCTAGGAGAGAGAGAGAAACAGCGTGAGCAGGGGAGGGTCAGAGAGAGAGGGAGTCACAGACTCTGAAATTGGCTCCAGGCTCTGAGCTGGCAGTCAGCACAGAACCCGACGTAGGGCTCGAACCCACGAACCCCGAGATCATGACCTAAGCGAAAGTCGGACGCTTAACCGACTAAGCCACCCAGGCACCCCGAGGCTATCTTTTCTTAAAGGTAGGAATAACAGTAAATAGTTTGGGAGGGAAACAATTAGGAAGGAAGGGACAGGTATCCAACAGCAAACAATGACCTGCTGAGCTCTGACGGTATTCAGTACACACATCTGCATGTGCCCATGTGCTCATCGCATCAGACAGCAGCGGTTGGGTGAAGTTAGGTCCAACATGAGTTCATGACTCGCTGTAGCCATGTCACATACTGCAAACTCTGAAGACATGAGGGAAAAGTCAGGCTAAGTGTGATATAGCGCCCCCTAAAGTTGATAAAATGTCTTATCTGCCTGATGGTTTAGGAGTAATGGTGACAGAATCCAGGGGCTCAGGGAGTGTAAATATGAGCCAGTGATAGAGTAGGACATCTGAGGCCAGAGAGGAGAGGCTTTGGGCGGCATCTCAGCTCAGCCGTACCACAGCTTCATGGTGTAACAGCTGTGAGGCTCGGGGCCAGTCTCAAGTACCACCTCTGAAAAATGGGGGTAATGAGAGTCAGCCTAGAGCGGCAGTGTGAGAGCGGAGCTGAATGCCAAAGACCCGATAGGAGACAGATGCCCAGTAAATGTAGGTTTCCTTTTTTAATGCAAAATCTAAGGGCCTTTTAGATGCCTTAGGAAAGGGCCAGGCTCAGCCTTTTCCAACGAGATACAGCTAAGAAAAGCTAGGATACTAAGAAACACCAAGGCTGTGCCCCTAACACTTGGCTTAACATGAAAACCTCACTTGGAGAAAAGAGGCCTTTCATTTTAATCACTGAAAACTAGATTTTAGGGACGGTTTGAGCCAAACGGTCTTGTTTCATTTCAAATGTTGGGTATTCTGCTAAGTACTTAGCAGATGGCTTTTCCATCCATTTTCCAGTATTTATTAATGTTCAACGAGCCTCCTTTTTTCATTGATTCTTTCTGGAACAAATCCTCTACCACTGTCAATTGTTGCTTTTCAAGGCTTCATTAAAGCTACTCGGATTAAGGCTTTGAGCCTTGAGAAGCACTGTTTGTTTGCTTTACTTGGCCGTGCTTTAATGTGAAGGCCTATAATGAATTTCCTCAGAGTTGTTCTGAGAAAGAAAATATTTTGTCTCAAGCAGTTCTTGTCTCTGCTTGCCCTGGTGATAGATATTAAATAATGTGGTGCTTAACCTCTTCATTTTTCTTTTTACCCAGAAAACATGCAGTCAAGGACATAGGAGGCAGTAGGTAATAGCTGAAGAAGCACCCTATGACACTGTATTTTTCCCTTTATTTTATTTTTCCTTCTCTGTGTCATTTATGATTGGGGCATATACTGATGAGGAGAGAACTTATGGTGAAAAACCTAAACTCAGATCTAATTGATATGGGGCTTCACACTATTCTTTCACCACCCTACCCCCGCCTTATCCCCTTGTTCCACTCTTGACTACGTTCTGCATATGAACAGCTGGAGAAGCTAAAGAATTTCAAAGGAAGGTGGAAGTGAACTTGAGTTTTTGAGCAACTATTAAAGTTTAGGCATTTTTTTTAACTTTGTTTTATTCTTACAAGACCAGCCAAAATTTCTTGAGCCAATGGTCATACCTTGGCCATCCATCAGCAAATCCTGGCAGTACCACCTTGTAAAACAACCAGATTATAACTACCCCATCACCCTTCCAACTCCTAGTCTCATCTTCATTGTTTGACTGGCCAATCACAGTTCTCCTCGTGGCTGGTATACTCTCGCCTCTAATGCACCTGCAGTCGGTACTCAGCAAGGCAGGTACGTGATGCCCATGCAAGTCAGCTGGTGCCTGTGCTCTGCCCAGGATGGCCTCCCCTCTCTCTCACCTCAGAGGGATGCTGGCGGGACGCCTACCTGTGACAACTGGCTGAGCCTCCATGCGGCCCACACATCCCATCGTGGTCTCCCCTGCACCACCTACTTGCTCTCCACGGCTTTCTACTCCCATCACAAACACCTCCTCAAGGTTCCTGCCCCCATGTCCAGCTTTCTCCCACACCAGGACCTTTGCACTTGCTGTTTCCCAGACCCAGAATTCTTTTTTCCAGATATCTTTAAAACTCACTTCACTTCTTACAAGCTTGTGCTCAGGTGGGACCTTATCAAAAGAGGCCTTCATTGACCACCTTACACAAAAAGAAGCTCTCAGTTACTCTCTATTCCCTCGTGCTGCTTTGTTCTTCTTTACTACACTCATCATCTTTGGTATATATTTGTTTATTGATGTCCATCTGGGTCCACAAGTATATAAATTTTATGAAAGAGACCAGCATATGTGATGAAGTTTCTGAGAGAAATGAACTTACCCATAGTGTACCTAGAGCAGCTAGGCTGGCAATCCCTGCAGCCTGTGCTTTCTCTGCTACATCAGGCAGCTGACTTTGAAGCAAAAATAGCCATGCTCCATCTATTGCTATTGCAGGTTTGCACATTCAGTAAAGACAGGATGCTCAGAGCGCACTACACTTTTGTATCTACCTGCTACATCTGAATCCTGCAAAATCATGGTGTTATCCACTTACTGACAAGGCTCCTCAGCCTAAGGAAGTTTAAGCCTTTGTCAGTCTTAGGGTTGCAGGAGAGAAAAGGAGGTAAGAGAACAAGACTGAGCATAGCACAGGATTCATTAGTTCCCAGAACATGTGTCCCGTCTCTAGCTCTTTGGCATACTCTTTTTACTAGCTTTTTTACGCACATGCTGTATCTCTCCCATTGCAACTTTTAAAAAAAATTAAAAAGAAGAACAGGTCTAAATTCTTCTTTTGAAATAAAATGATCCTTTTGCCGGCAGTGTTGCCGAGAAGCCCTGCCTTCAAATTCCTCCAGCACGTCTTCTGTACTGTTGCCAGGAGGGTGTTTTAAGATACCAATTTCATTATTCCATTTTGGAAAAGAAAAAAAAAAAGGCTATAACAAAGCCTGCTAAGTGATTCCTTGACTTAGCATACCTACTAGCAGGATTTCTTACTGAAATCCTGTGTCCCTCAAAGCCCCCTGCTCAGGCTCTCCCCTCTGGCAACTTTTAACTTCACAGCACAGAAGTATTTAGAAGACCCTGCATACATCATTCAATGTCACATTTTAATACTTTTATCTACTCTAGAAATACTACCTTCTCTGCCCAATTTCTGTCTGTTGTACATTTCTGATGGTCGTTAACACTGGCAACTCTTAAGAGCCCACTATGCGTCAGGCGGTGTTCATCATGAGGTATGTATTGTTTCATGCTCACAACAGCCCTACTCACAAGCATTGTCAGCCCATATTTTACAGAAAAAGGAAGTGAAGCTCAAAGAGCCCAAGTCCCATGACTGAACAATAGGACAGCAGAGGTCTGAGCCACACATTCTTCCCACAGCCCCAGTGTGTGTCATCTTTCTACACTGCTGGGTGCCCTGTGTCTGCTCCTGTGATTCTATCTGGTCCTAAGACTGCAAGCCTCTTCCTGGCAGAACTTTCTCTTTCTTTTTGTAGCTACAGTGCCTCAGCCACCAGGGTCATCAGTTTTACGGGTGAAAAATATCTGTGAAAAGGACCATGACTGGGAATTATATCTGAACACCAACAGCCTTTGGGCCGTCAGCCCTCATCTTGACTATGTGCCCTGTCCCTCACATCCCGTCCAAAGCTAACAAATGCCCACACCTCACAGAAGTTTGTTCAGTTTATGATGACCACAGATGTATGAACACAGCCATCCATAAACACTCATGGTCGTTCTGGTCTGCCTATGAGGAAGTTTACAGGCACACTTTATCCTGTTACAGATGATTTTGTCCTAGGTATAAGGTTCTCTAATACTTACTGCTGGTGCTCTTCATACAGTCAACAGCAGACCTGTTTTGTGCTGTCCTTTCTATGGTGGAGATGACCTTTGTTGATTTAAATGTACTGCTTTTTTTTATATAAAATTGTTTTATTACAGTGATAATATATTTTCATGTGATGCCCCTCCTCCTAGAATTCAGTAGATTTATATTTTGTACTGGACTGGATGATTTGAAAGTTCATGTGAAAAAAAAATAAATGCAAGAATTCTCAAGAATGTGAGAGAATAATGATGCTTTCAGGTAGTACCAGATATTGGAATTTACTTTAAAGCTAATGTAATAAAAAAAATGCTATTTACCCAAGAAAAACCAAATAGAGCAGTGGAATAGAATCAGATCAAGAAATGTATATAAGTAAATGTGGGATGTTACTGTATGATAATAAGAGCACTTCCATTCCAGGGGAAATAGAGAGTTTATTTAATAAATAATATGGCATTATTTGGTTATCAAAATAAAAAATAGCTTGAATTTTAATAATATACTTAAAAGTTAAAGATTTTAACTGAAGTAAGGAAGAATAACACTATACATTTATAAACTTAGATCTTTCAACTTGTTACAACACACACTGCTTTGTAATATAAAATAATGAGAATTTATCTTAAAAGTAATATTTACATGTTGTTTATTATATATTACATGTTCCAAATACAAAAGTATTAAAACATGACACTGAATGATGTATGCCGGGTCTTCTAAATACTTCTGTGCTGTGAAATTAAAAGTTGCCAGAGGGGCCAGCCTGAGCAAAGGACTGTGAGAGACAGGATTTCAGTAAGAAATCCTGCTAGTAGGTATGCTAAGTCAAGAGATTATTACAGTAAATATTGAAAGACTCCTTCCTCTTTACAATACCCTCAGTTTATAGTTTCTCTTCCCTGATATTTTTAGGTGCATTTACATATACACATGCAGAAGGACATTTGTCTTTTACCTTAATGGGATGACATATTGTTTTGCAACTTTTTTTAATTAAATGTATCACTGTGGACTGCCTTCCACAAAGATATATCTTGACAAATCTCAGTCTTTCCAAAGGCTACACATGACATTCCGTTATATGACTCTAACTTCAACTTATTTAAATAATCCTTTATCCCTATCATTAATATATTCTTAGAAGTCAAATCATACAGAAGGGACAGAAATGAAAAGTCAAGTTCTCTATGACTCTGTTTCCAACATTCTTCTCCAGGAATAAACACAGAATGGTTCTGTGTTGTAGTTCTGGGATTAGTTAAGACACTAATCTCTAGCCACTAAAAGGATGATGGCCCCAAACTGAAGGTCTAGTGATTTCTCTTAATCTCTTTTGAGGTTTTTTTTCCTGTCTTTTTTTGAGTTATGTCAGCTGCTACTCCTGTGATGCTTTTTCAGTTATTATTCTTATAATTTTTTGGTATGATCTGCTAGGGAGCCTTATTGAGTAACGCCTTTGGAAAGCTTGTAAGAGTGATCAACTTTGTGACAATTTGCATGACTGAGAATGTTACATAAAGAATAGTTTACATATGGAAACTCTAAATTCATAGTCATTATCCCATGAGTGTTTGAACAGTCTTTGTTCCTTCAAGTTTTTGTGTCCCGTGTTATTTGATAGAAAAATCTGCTGTCAGTCTAATTCTCCTTTCTTTATGGATGACATCATTTTTTCCCTCTCTCTCTGGAAATTTTTAAAATTTTCTTTCTAGGGGCGCCTGGGTGGCTTAGTCGGTTAAGCGTCCGACTTTCACTTAGGTCATGATCTCGCGGTTCGTGGGTTCGAGCCCCGCGTCGGGCTCTGTGCTGACTGCCAGCTCAGAGCCTGGAGCCTGTTTCAGTCTGTGACTTCCTCTCTCTCTGACCCTCCCCTGCTCACGCTGTCTCTCTCTCTCTCTCTTCTATAAATAAAAATAAAAAAAAAAAACATTAAAAAAAATAAAAAAAAATAAAATTTTCTTTCTAGAGATTTCAACAAAACATGTTTAAGCATGGATCTTTTTTCCGTGTACCTCACCTCAGTGAGGCTTTCAATATGAAGGGTCTTATGTTTCTTCAGTCTGTAATATTTTTATTTCATTATTTATTTTATTAGCCATCCTCTTTTCTATCTTCTCTTGGAACTCCTTTCAATCAACTATTGAGCTCTCCGACCTATTCCCCATATTTTTAAACTTTCTCTTTTATTCCTTGCTTTGTTTGTTTGTTGTTTTAGGTTGCTGAAAATTTCTTTGCTTGAGCTTCCAAATCAATAAGATAGTCTCTAACTCTCTTAAAATGTGGTGGTCCATTGATTTTTAAATTTCAGCCATCACATTTTAATTTCCAAAAATTCTTTCTTGTTCCATAGGTACAGTAGCCTGTCTAATTTTTCTTAAGATAATATTTATAATTTGGGGGGACATTTGGGATCTATTTTGTTTCCTCACATTTCTGCTGATCTTCTGTTGTCTGCTTATATTTCTGAATCATATAGGTTGACCTGAGGTGCCATGTTGTCAGTATTGTAAAAGTTCTCCAGGAGACTCTCACTTGGTGTAAAGACATAGGGGTATCTCTGCCAGGGAACAGGGCAGGTGTGTGATTATGTTCATGCTTCTTCACTTTGTCTTCTTTCACCTAATAATATGTCCTGCTGGTTTTTCTTCATCAGTTTATGGAAAGCTCCCTCTTTTTTTAGAACTTTATAGCATTCCATTGTGTGGACATCTCATAGCTATTTAATTATTTCCCAATTGGTTTGAAACACTTGCATTTCAAATATTAGAATAAGGAATTCTTTCCTCTAATGCTGCAATAAATAATCCTATCCGTCTGTCGTTTTGTACCTGTGCAGTTATACCTGCAAAATAAATTCTCTTAAATGTATTTTTAATTTTAATGAATATTGACAAATTGCCCTTCAGCTTTAAACATGAGGAAACATGGGGTGCCTGGGTGGCTCAGTTGGTTGGGCATCCAAGTCTTGATTTTGGCTCAGGTCATGATCTCACGGTTTGTGAAATTGAGCCCTGCATCCAGCTTTGGCAGTGTGGAGCCTGCTTGGGATTCTCTCTCTCTCTGTCTCTCTGTCTCGCTCTCGCTCTCTCTCACTCTCTCTCGCTCTCTCTCTCTCTCCCTCCCTCTCCCTCCCTCTTTCTGCCCCTCTCCTGATCTCCCTCTCTCTTTCTCTCAAAATAAATTAATTAATTAAAATAAAATGAAGAAACTGTCCCAGAAAGGAGGGGTGAGTTAATAATAGGTGCATAGCAAATTTATTGCCAGTATGGGGTACAGAACCATGTCCGTGTGACATTTGATCCAGTATTTCTTCCAATGTATAACATTTCTTTCACAGTGTTCTAGACGCAGGGTCTAAAGCTATGTCAGGTAATTTGGTGGAACTGATTGATCATCAGGGGCCATTCAAGATGAATCAGTGCCTGAAAAAGGGCTAACTACCCACCTCCCATTCCCCAGAGCCTCATAGAAATAATAAAAAAGATATATGCATATGAAGACAATGCAGCAATGACATGGAGATAGCACAAAGCAAAATAAAAATTAGCAGTGGACAAGAAAGTTTAAGGAAATGTCAGAGAGAGAAAGCAGGATAGGAAAAACTATAGCCAGAAACACCAGAGACAAAATTAGTTCTTCTCAAGATAGCTTCCAAGGAAATTCCAAGTATAAAGTCATTTAGGACAAAGGCAAGAGCAGATCATCAGACAAAACACCAAGATTTTTAAGAACTAAATTTAAAACAGCCAGTTCAGCTGCCTTTCTAGCTCTCACTTCACCCCAATATACAGAGACTACTACAGAGCTGGCATAGGAAGTTTTGCTATTAGTACTGAAGTCCTATCCTCCCATCCACATACTAACCACACTTGACCCTGCTTAGCTTCCAAGATCAGATGAGACCAGGTACATTCAGGACGGTACGGCCATATACTGAAGACCTAGTTTCTAATGAACAGGTGGCTGATGAGATTGAGGCAGGGTCTTAATACATACTGGACCTGAGAGAGAACATAAATGGAGATTTAGGTAACCCTACATGTTTATCTACTTCAGAGAGCATAAGGAATATAAAGGAAGCAGCTCTGGCCATCAGTAAAAACAGGAAAGCCCTCTAACCACAAGAATAGGGTCCTTCTTCCTCAGCTGTTGTGGGATTCCCAGCCTCTTGTCTGCTCCAAGCCAGCATGTCCTACTGCGAAGCCTGCCTATCAGAATGCCTGAATACTGTCACAGATGAATTCTACCCTCCAATTCGGAAAGCATTTGCTAAGCCAGCCGGCCCCAGGGGTGTCACTTTGTTGTAATTCATCCAGCTTTGTGCAATATTGTATACCTCATAAAAACTCCCGCGAGTAATTCTTTTTTTTAAGTTTATTTATTTTGAGAGAGAAAGAGAGAGAGAGAGAGAAGGTATCAGCAGGGGAGGGGCAGAGAGAGAAGGGAAGAGAGAGAGAATCCTAAGCAGACTCCACACTGTCAGCATGAATCCCAATCCAGGGCTCGACCTCATGACCTGAGCCAAAATGAAGAGTCAGATGCTTAACCAACTGAGCCATCCAGGTGCCCCGAAAGTCCCTAACTAATTCTAAGTGGCATCCAGGATTGAGAAACCCTTGTCTAAACAACTGAATGGAATAGTTGTATGTGTGTAGTATAGAGTCTCTGCTCATTTAAAATTGAGTTTAGCATGAAAAATCAAATCTCAATCTATTTAATAGATAATTGTGTTTGTGCCAAGAGAGCTATTAGCTTATATTCAATTATAATAAATATACAGACATGGTAGTGAAAAACAAAGTCACTGTAGTGGACCTACAATGAAATATTCTTTTCAGCATGTTTGGATGAGTGTGCCTAGAGTTGATGGAATGTCCTTATCTCCATCACTGACGAATGACCTGTATTTTGCTTCAAATTTCACCTCTTCTTCATTGGTGTTTGGGAATTGCACTCTGATGGGTCTACTCATGGAATTGTTTTACTCACATGCTTTGGATTATTATCTGTAAATTAGTCTTTCATCCAGTCTGGAAAATTCTCAAACATCTTCTTTTCAAATATTTCTTCTCTTCCATTCTTTCTGTTCTTACTTCCTGAGATTCTAGTAAGACATATGCTAAGAACTTTTCATTCACTTCATATTTTTAAACTTTTCTTTTGTATTTCCATCTCTTTTCCTACGCCGATATTTTCTTCAGATATCTTTCTGTTCATTAATTCTCTCTTTAGTTCTATCTAAATGGCATGTTGCCTTTTCCTTCCCAAAAATATTTTCCATTTTCAAAGCTTCTGTTTGATTGCTTTACATGTCTACCAGCTCTTTCCTGATAATTCCTTCTTTCTTGCTTCTTTTTTTTTAAATTCCTATATTTCTTTAAATTGTTCACTCATTCTATGTTCTATATCTGATAATTCCAATCTCTGCGATCCTCAAGTGTCAGTTCTGTTCCTTGTCATTTGTTCTGACTCTTAACTCCTGGAGCCCGGCGCTCTTTGATTTTAAGTTTTTTGTTTGTGCCTCCTCTGTGGGGATCCTGTGGAGATGCTTGCCCAAGAAAAGTACCTGCATCTGCTTCTGCTGTGGACGAAGGGTCTGCACTAACCTGGGACCATTTGGTCCCCCTGAGAGTCACAGTTCAAACCAGGATTCTCAGGATCAGCTTGTCTATGGCACTGGCCCCATGGCTCAAGGTCATATTTATGACACAAGACCCCAGGGAGACCCTGCCCTTACCTGCCACTCCCATTCCCGAGTAACTCATGATTTGGGGTTATGACCACCCTAACTAGACTCTTTTCTGCATAAGGAGAGTCCCTCCCAACCATATGGTCCACCATATTGCTAGAAGCAGTTATCCTTATGAAATATTTTCAGCAGTGTTCTGGGCAGCCAAGCCTGATTATATCAAAAGTAAATGATATAAGCACAGCTTTGGAGAATGTTTAGTGAATTAGGATAAACTGTAATCAGCTGGTTATCATATTAGTATAGTGAAAATAACTTTCTGTCTGAAGTCTTTTGTATCAGCTCAACATTTCTTTTCTAACATCTAATTAATTCCTAAACTAATTTGTTTGACCACAATGTTTTATGGATTTTCATTAAAAAGTGTGAGGAAAATGTGCTAATAAGTCTATTAACTAATTTTGCACGTAACTTTATGGAACATATGTAATGCTTCCTCTGATTTTCTGTTTCTCTGTTTAAAATAATCATAGAGGTCATGCTGATGGACATCAACAATAAAAAAAGTATCCTTATCTATCTATGTATCTATCTATATTGTATATGTGTATGCCTTTAGATGATGGTATCATATATGGCATGAAGTTATTTTAGTACATGGTCTAATTTCTTTCAGCTCCACTATTTTTGCACATGGTAGAAATAAAGTAATTCAAATGACTTAATACCATTATCTCAGAGGTGGACATAGTTCTTCAGCACCTCACCTCTTATTTTTTATCAGGCCATTAGCAGGAAATCATTTCCAATTTGTAGGGAAGTGAACACAGCCTGTTTCCTGCCTCTGTGATTAGAAGACTCCAGCATTCTCCTTGCACATCATCTTCAAAAAGACTCCAAGTTTTCCCTGAGATGCTAGGAATAGGGAAGTCTTATATTAATGTGAGAAGTGTTGCTCCATTTCTAGGAATTCAAAGAAATTAAGGACACGAACTTCAACTAAATGAGGGTATTCAGCATGGAGTAGGGTACATGACAGGCATTTAATATTTATTATTTGTTGAATGAATGAATCTTTCATAGGGAGCCAGTACAGGCACCTGGGTGACTCAGTTGTTTGAGCGTCTGACTCCTGTTTTTGACTCAGGTCATAATTCCAAGATTGTGAAATTGAGCCCCACTTCAAGGTCTATGCTAAGTGTGGAGCCTGCTTGGGATTCTCTCCCTCTGCTCCTCTCTCACACTCACACTCTCTCTATACATAGTAAAAAATATATATATAAAATAAGATAAAATAGGGATCCAATAATAGAAAACCATCCTACTAGTGGTGATTTCATGGTGAGATTTTATTTGCTCTTTTATTTAATATGCCTCCATCCCACCACATACATACACAACAACAAGAGAGAGATACAGGGATAGAAAATAATTGAATTTATTCCAGTGAATTTTGAGACGAGAAATAACCAAATGAGTGACCTATTGCATTACGACATACATTTAAGCTTCTATACTTTTATAACCACAAGAAAAGAGAAAGAAGCTCTTCTCGCTGATTTTTCTGGTCTATTTTGTTATACCAACTGCAGGTTTTTTGTTTTGTCTTGTTTTTACATAATTTGAAAGTGCTGCACTGACTAGGAATGTGCCAGTAGGAACTAAAATTTATCTTGTGAGGAGATAAAAATCAGTATCTGGGGGATTGTTTGGTAATTCACACTGAAAACAGAAAGGCTTGATAAGAAACACATTGGATTCCCCTGGCAGGTACATTGTGAGTCTGTGCGAAACAAAAGGCTGGGAAGGATCCCCTGTGCCCACTGTCCTGTCCCAGGCCTGTTGTCTGGGCCCACAGCCTCATCGTAGAACACACGTCGTGATAGCGTTTCTCTTGGGATCCTGGGCAAATGGAGATTTTGCCTGCACTAATTTTGCAATTTTTGAAAAAGGCTTCTATAATTGACTTTAAGTGCAGTTAAAGCCAGTCTTTAGAAAGTGTTTTATATTCCTTGTGTTCTCATTTCCTATTCATTCCATTTCCCTCCCTGAAATCAGGAAGTGAATACTGAGCATACCTGATAACCCAGCACTATGAAGCAAAGCTATGACCAAAGTTTGCTCAGTTTGTATTTCATCTCCTCCCATTTGGAGGCTTCTAAAGATGGCAGAGGGAAAAAAAATTAATCTATTACTCTCAGTGGAAAATGGTTCCTCTTCAGACTGGGTCGGCATGCTCTCCTGTGACTTCTAAGGCTTGCTACTTGAAGGTCAGACCCCAATCAGGAGGCAGCAGTCTAGGTCAGCTGCAGAAGGAGCAGAGTGAGGGCAAATCCTGAATGGCCTCCCAACCCAGTCTTCTCCCAGCAGGAAACCCCTTCGGAATTAGCAGGGATTGTTACTTCACAGTGCACTATATAATAAGGCTTGTAAGCATTGGGCTATTTATTTATTTTTTTTTAATTTATTTAATTTTTTATTCAGAGCATTTTTGTTAGCAACCAACATTTAAAACTATCTCAAAACAATTAGTAATGGTAGGCATAGCTGAGAAAAGGAAGAATTAGAGTGTTTACTGTGATGGTCTCTGGTTGTTCCTTTATGCAATAGTACTGGCTGAATGAATACGTGCTGTGTGGTAGGCCATGTAGAGTGTAGACAGACACACAAGACATTGGCTTAGTCTTCAAAGAGTTTTCCATTCACACATGGAACTAAAGGCTGAGCCCAAGTACTTATAGTGCAAAGGATTTTCTGCTCAGGGTCACAGAGTGATCAGTGCATGACAGAATAGTAAAATAATACCTAAGAACATGGACAAAAGGGGAAATAAGCTTTGCCTTCTCAGAGTGAAGCTAGGAAGATACACTCAGACACATTCAAAAGGTTGAAGTCTATCTGAGGATAAACCAAAGACAGAATGCTGCTGCAGATTTGGGGAAAAGTAAAACTGCCTGAATATCTCAAGGACAGAGAGTGGAGGGTTGGAGTAATACAGGTGGGGCCATATTGTGGTGAATTGTATTTAGCCGCTTGAGAATAAAACTGAATCATGAGAAAGTAGTCAGCCCAGAGAGGAGAGAACTCTGAAGTCCAGTGTTCATGGGCCTAAGGAGATGAGCAATTCAGACCCTGGGAAAAAAGAATAAATCCCATTTCGGCTCATTGAGCCAGCACCTTGTATTGATTCTATACTCGCTTAATATTCTGATTATAAATTGGCTTTATACAAGGGCGCCTGTGACTGAGTTGGTTGAGTATTTGACTCTTGGTTTCAGCTTAGGTCAATATCTCATGGATCATGGGATCAGGCCCCACATGGGGCTCCACACTTCAGTGCAGAGCCTGCTTGGGATTTTCTCTCTCTCTCTCTGTCCCTCCCCCATGCACACTGGCAACAAACAAACAAACAAATAAACAAACTTCCAATTTAAGTCTATCCATCAGGAAGAGATCTTTCTACTCATGTGACATACATCTATCCATATAAGTTATAGCTGTCGTTGTTAAGTAACTAATATAATAGCATTCTGCAGTGCGCATGCGCACACACACACACACACACACACACCAGTTCCATGAGCTCAGGTAATGTGTATCCATTCCTAAGAAACAATTTTGTCCAGCATGCACTGTTCAAAGGCAAGTGCTCCACCTACCAGACTGAGGATTAGACCCTGGCATTGGTGAACGCCCCAAGGTGAACTAATTGAGACCATTTGGCAGGCAACCATCTGCCCTCTTGTAATGACACCCCCAGCTCACTGGATGCTTTTCAGACTGAGCCAAAAATAAAGCAAATGCTACAAACTCCATGAGACCAGAGTAGGATATACATTTCTCTTCTAGCTGGAATTATCATGGAATCCCTATGCTTGAATGAATGAGGAAGTTCATTAAGCAAAGGGCTTTGGTGAATGGGAACCCAAAGGCCAAGTCATGAGCTAGATGCAGGGAGGTCCACAGGTCCTGTGCAGATGGAAGCTACTAGGAAGTAGGGGGAGCGGGTGTGGTAAAGATGGGTTGGGCCACTCTGGGAGGCTTGAACTGCTAGAGCCAGGTATTTGAATCCTACTGAGTAAGAACTAAGGAACAATTGAAGAGTTTGAGTAAAAGAATTTGTGCTGTAAGAGATACACTATGGTTGCTGTTGACAAGATGGATCCGAGTGCACTAATGCAATGGCATTCTACAGTGCCCATGCAAGCATGTACACGTGCACGCGCACACACACACGCACACACACACACACCAGTTCCGTGAGCTCAGGTAATGTGTATCTGGCTGAGGTGCAGTTTAGAGGCAAAGGGACAAGTTTGGACAAATTTGGAAGCGGCTGTCATGAGGTAACTCTGGCCTCAAGTAGGATGGAGGCAGATGGATGACTGAAAGTCTAACTGCTAGAAAAAGCATAGAGGAAATTCCTATTGAAGTGCTTGTTAATTATTTAGGCTCCTTTCTCTGGCTAAGATTTTCAAATAGAATTATGCCAGTCATAAGATAGCCATTGTGCATTTTCAGGGTCAAAAGGAGCATCTCACCTTATTTTAGTAAGTGAGAACCCGGTCCTTGGAAGATGTGTGAACTGAGGAGCATGGAGAATATCAACAGGAAGTGCTGAGTGGCCAGCAGAGTTCAGGCAAAGTCTAAGGTGGGGGGTGGAGGGTAGTTGCCAAGTTGGATAAATGTCAAGCCTGGGTGGTTTGGCTACACTCAAGTCTGAGGTGGATTAGACACTTCAGACAGAGAGTGAGTCAATATGGGACAGTGATCTGGCTGAGACAGAGAAAAGGAGGTCCCAGTGAGGGGAACTCCAGGAAGGAGCTGTAGCTCTAGGGCTAGTAAACTATAATAGTTTGTAGTAAAATTTATCTTACAGAGTCTGAGGTGGAGGAAGGATGCCAGGTACCTTCAAAGTTACCCTCCAGTAAACGAACTCTTGTACATGGCTAGTGAGAATGTGAAATGGTGCATTCACTGTGGAAAACAGTTTGGTGGTTCCTCAGACAACTAGACATAAAATTACCAGGTGATTCAGCATCCCATTTCTAGGTATTGAAAAATAAG